ACAATTAATCACTTGGCAATCAAAATAAATTTGACAATTAATTATGAATTAAAAATAGTGACGCATAAAAATAATAATGACAATTAATATCAAGAATAATAATAGTAATAATAATAATAATAATAATAATAATAATAATAATAATAATAATAATAATAATAATAATAATAATAATAATAATAATAATAATAATAATAATAATAATAATTAAACAGGGCATTACAGGGAGCTTATAAGCTGCTAAAACTGCCTGATTAGCTAGCTGATAGCTGATAAGCTAGCATATAGTTTATGACTAATTTTCGAGCTTGTAACTTATAGTTGAAAAACTAGCTTATATGATAAAAGTGTTTGGTAAAATTAACTGATAAACTAGTTGGAATAAAAAATTCAACTAGCTTATTTGAAAAGCTACCTAAAGAAGCTTATTAAATAAGCTCGAGCTTTTAAAAAAGCTCGTCCTACCAAACAATGATTATTTGAATACAGTGAGCTTATAAGCTAACCAAATACCAAATATAGCCAAACTCTAAGTTAGCTTACTTGGCTACCAAATATAGCTATAAGATTGAGTTGGACTCATGTCCAATCCCTTATATTTAGAGATAATAACCCCATCCCCAGGCGCAAGTCCTTTTATTTCCCAAAGTGCGAATTGAAAGTTTCATTCCACTTCTTATTAATTGGTTCTTAATTATGATTTTTTTAACATTTTAATTCAAGAAAAGTCAAATGCGAACACTTCTTAATATCTACTTACAAACCCCAAGACCTAAAGCATCTCTATAAAACACCAAACACACCACAGATCTAGTTTCTCTTGTTTTAATCCTTCTCGTCCTCCCCTTCCAGAAGCAAATAATATCATTCTTCGGCGCCCATCCTCCTCTCCACTTATCGGTCACTACTTGCTTCCTTCCGCCTCAGTCACAGCTTGCTACCCTCCTCCGACCATGGGCAACTTTCTCCATTGCGCTTTGCTCTTTTGCCCATGGAGTGATTCCCGACGCCAACAGATGGTCTGCATCTCGGGGCCCCTAGAATCGCCGCCAACATCACCCTCGCTTTGAGATCCTCTTCCTCTCTGGCTCCCTCCTCCCGCCGCCTGCACTGTTTGTCGCCTCAAGGTGTGGTTTACTGATTTAGGGTTTAGTAAATTTTAATTTTATTTATTTGTTGAGGAGGTTTCATTGAACTTAGATATAAAAAATTAATTATGGAATTCCAGCAGCCCAAGCCCCAAGAAGCAAACCGTGCAAATGACCATATCCTATGCAGGTTGTGTAATGGTGTTCGTCTGGGTCGGGCCATGGTGTTCGACGATCTGCCGGCTGTTGGCGAAGTGTTGGTGGAGCTGCCGACCGCCCAAGTTTAGAAATTGGATGTTGTGAAGCGCTCTTAAGTTTTTCAAGAGATTGCTGACAAATGTTGATGGCATGTTGTAGCTGGGTTTGGGGAAGACATTTCAAGATTGGGGAATATGCATATTGAAGGGAACTTTGGTGGGGAAGACATTTGGGTTCTTGTTATTTTTTGAATAATTTGTGTGATATATTTGTGTTTTGAATGATTTTGGAAGTTAATTTGATGTTTATATATAATCAAAGATTTGACTATGGTTATTGTTTTGGTTTTTTTTTAATATTTCTATTTATTTCTTTACCATTTAGTTAAAAATTAGATAATAAACTTAAGATTAACTAGAAGTTCCAAGCACAACAAAATAGAAATGATATGCGTCTCTCTCTGACCT